CAGTTTCTATCTGTACAGTAGCCAATCGTTCCTAATTAAAAAGTGATTCGAAATTATAAACAGTGTACAAAGTATGTGAAAAGAACAAACTCTCTATTCCAAATTGAGACCACATTTTATTTATATAAGAAACGAGAGAATATATGCATTCCAAATTGAGACCGCGTTTTCTACTATAAAATTTTCATTTCCAAATTGAGACCACTATTTAAATCTAATTAATAATCATCAAAAAAAAGTGGTCTCAATCACGAAGTAGCCAAAATTCGAACTATTCATTTACACTTTTTTTTTCTATTTTCAATTGATTCGAATCTTTTGTATGCGATGATTACCCCAATCAGCAACATATAGATTACCTTCTCGATCAAATGATAAACCGCTGGGCCAGATCAGTTGATTTAATTTTTTTCCTTGCCCATTACCTCCCATGACAATCACACCGTAACTAGATTCATTTGAAAAACGCATTACTCGATTATTCGCTCCATCAGCTACATAAATTTGACCCCAATGATCAACAATTAGTCCTTGAGGAAAATGTAATTGTGTTAAACCATCTCCTTTACCATTTCTACCAGCAAGAATAATGCCCTCTTTTGCATCTTTTATCCATTTCATGATACGATTATTCCATCCATCTGCTGCATAAATTGTATAATCTTGATCAACGAAGATAGAAGTAGGAAAAGCTAATTGATTAAGACGATCACCTTGTCCATTTCCGCCTGCCACTAATATTCCGTCTGTTCTTGGATTTTCTCCTATTTTCCATCGTCTTATTTGACGTTTTTCGTAATCAGAAACATAAAGATTATTCTTTCGATCGATTTTAATGCTCCAACAAGTAATATCAGAAGTAATTATTTGTGGATTTTTGTTTATTTGATTAAACCATTGAACAATTCTTCGGTTTTCTGTATCACAAATAAAAAGTGAATTAGATTTCTTATCAAAAACAACATCTTTTGGAGAATCCAGTTGATTAATTCCATTTCCTTTTCCATTTCCACCTGCAACAATTTCTCCATTAGTATTATTAAATCTCCATTTAATTATTCGATGATTTTCCGAATCGGCAATATAAATCACTTGACTATCATAATCAATATAAATACCTTGAGGAAACATAAGTTGATTTGATTGATTCCCTTTTCCATTTCCACCAGCAATTGTAATAATATTTTCAATCCATCTGTTGTTATTAAAGCTTGAAGAAAGAAATCGTTCTAAAAACAAACAATTTTTAAAAAAATCAGGTTCCTCGTATCCAGAACGGCTTGTCAATATGAGCGCATGGCTGACTAACAATAAAACAAAAAGACAGTGAGGTAGAAACAAGTATAGCTCATTTATGGACTTCGTTTCCGAAAAACTTCATTAACGATAAGAATCCACAAAATAAACTTAGATAAAAAGGTAACAGCATTTGATTAGAATAAAGTATCGGCCATAGTCGAGCGTTTAAGGACCGTTTCGCGATATATATAAATTTGCGTAACTTCCTAAAACTTTCTGTATCACTAATATCTACAATGCAGGCATTTCTAGTAAGTTAACGATTTCAAAAAAAAATCTGCAAGTGTTCATTTCGGAGAGATTTGACTGTATATTTTCTCTTAACATTAAAAAAAAGCTTTTAATAGATCGTTCGAAAGAATTAAACTTGTTATATAAACAATTATGACAAAACTCTTCAACATAAGATCAAATTATAAACATCGCTTTATCTAATTATATTAGAGATAAACTCAATTACAAGAAATTTCAAACAATACAATTGCAATATGGGCTGTCTTCCACATGTGCTCGTGAGTATTCAAATCAGTTATTCCACTACAAATATGCAATCGATTAACACGGAAATTTTCAATAAACTTTTCTATTTGATTTTTTACTTTCAATTTTTGATTGTTGCTTGCCTGTTTTCAACTTATTTCGTAACTTTGGATATTCATCCATTGTTGTGTTATATATCAATTGAGTTTCAGTTAATTCAATAGGATTTGTGCCGATATTGATGGAATTGATTAATATTACAATCAATATAATTAACTACATAGATCAAATTATACCATAAATCTATACTCTTAACAAATTTCTGATAACTTACTTGTTTTTGAAGAAACGGCATATTTCTATTTATTCAACACAAAAAAAAATAAAATGTATCTCCTTTACCTAACAAATATATAGATATATGTGAAAAGAGAAAGGCCTTGTATACAGTATACGATGAAGAATTAATTCAAATTGAATTCATGTGATGTGTACAAGGTAAAACGACGCATGTTAATCCTCTTTTTTTTTCGTGTGTATACATTAAGATCAAAATTAAACTCAGTCAAGTTGAACTTTTATTTGGCCTACGCGATATGTAAAGATTTTTATGAGCAGGTGAACGTGAGAAAGAGAAAGTTCACATTTTAGTCAACTAGTTCTCATTATACGATAGTTGTCAAGGTACTTATTCAGATTATGTACATCGTGTTAATTAACAATGTTAGGTTCCACCTGACTTGTTTTAATCTTCACTTGTATGTACAAATGTTTTATTAAGAAAGCAAAGGCACCCCTCTCATACAGTATATGTCCTGCGTATATATAGGCGAGAAAGGAAGAAAGAAAGAAAGAAAAAACGTAACAGAAAAACATGATGTAATATATACAATGGTGTCACAGGATGACATGATGAGATAGTGACTATATGAAATACATTTCCTGGAATGGAAATGTTTCTTTTATATAATCACGCAGTAGTACACTGACGCTGCAGTGACCATTTTAGGTCTCGTGACCTAACACCTCCCCCCATAAAGAAAGATGAACTGCCACGTTCATCGAAATTTAAATAGCTCTCACATGTCTTTTTGTTATACAATGTTCCAGCACTGCCACTACTCTTATCATTGAGCCAGCATTTGCATGCGAGCCTGTTCCTTTTGCCCCATCATTGTGGGACAACAAATAGTTGAATAGCTGATGTGTCTTCTGATATTACACTATGGTTGTTCAGTACCATTTGAATCTTATGACTATCGAAGTTTGATCAATCATTCATGAAGCTGCCACCAGCATGATTCATTAGACCACTATTTATCAGCTAAATTAGTTTCATCACTTTGCTAACAACTAAATGCATAACTATGCGGATAACCGTG